TTGAGACCCAGACCTTCGTAGCTTGAAGCTTCAATACTTGAGTGTATGAGATGCTTCTTGATATCTCTGTGTCCCCTTAACTTGGTTGAGAGACCTCTATTTATAGTTGTAGCAAGAGGTGGAGGTTGAGATCATGTACACCACTCTACTTGCCTAGCAAGACGTACAGTCATATTAAGACTGTGCCAGTTAAATATTATCTCTTCATTAATAAAGAGATAAGTAATTTCTCGATTGGCCAGACTTGTGGGGACACGTGACGTGGCGCCATTTTACTGGCCAGGCCATTGCAGTATATAAGAGATATACTTGGATTAAACAATTCTAAATATTATCCCTTTAATAAGAAATAAATATTTAGATATTTATCCAATAAATACATGATATGATATGATTTGGTTGGTGGAGATACCCCTGCAATTTGAATTGATTTGGAACACCTCACCTTGACACGTGGCAAAATATAATTGGTTGCTTAATAACCAAATTTTCCAAGTGTACATGACATATGGCAATATCCGATTGGACAAAAACATTTTAATAGACCAATGGTAATTTTTAGAATTTAATTAAAATTCCATTGTCTACAAATGCCCCTCGAAACTTGTCTGCGAAAACTAAAACTTGAACGGACAAGTTTTCGACATTCTTCGTTTTTTTTTTCCCATTTTGATTTGGATGCCGCAAGGCTGAAATTTAAGCGTCAAAATAGCCACAAGTCTTGATTAACTCGCACAACACGCCTGCCAGATTCCAAGTAGTATTTGAACCCGAATAGTATTGGATGCTGGTGATGATTAGAAGAATCCCGAGGCCGAATTACTCCATGTTGGAGTCTTACAACAAGAGTCCGTGAATGGACTCTAAAAGCCAATTTCATAGCTTTTGAATTAGTCATAAGATGACCATGCGGGGGCCACCTATCCATACAACATTTAATGCTACCAATCCCAAGGTCAAAGTATATCATGCCAAAGGCTTCAAATTCACCGTGAATCATCCAACAAGCTTTGGTGGTTAACTTCCAATACAACTCCCTCTTGTGGCCCACTAAGCCTTTTCCTATATTGACTACTTCCCGAATTGAACTGTGACTCTTTGTCCGTAGCGAACTCTTGGCCGGCAGCTCCTGACAAGTCCTTTTAGGCTTAGCAAAGTCATTCCAACAAGGAATTGACTTCCTTCTCAAATTCTTACGGAAGAAGACTTTCTCTCTCGGCCCGGGTTCGCATCAAATCTCCCCTATAAATAGCCGTGCCTAGCTTTACCAATTGCCACATCATCAAATTTCTAGCCGCATCATCAACTTGCCGCTGCGCCAGAGTCAGCCGTTATCTGTTGCACGGACAGCCATCATCGGCTGCTTATACTCCAATAAGCACTTTCTGTTTGCCAGGTACTTCAAGTTTTTTTTTTTTTTTGTATTCACCTCGAACACGGTCAGCCCTTGGAATTTATTTGTCTTCCTGACATGTGCTTTTGACTTGTATCCCCAACATATTACAATTTACAAAGCAACTTAATCCTTCGGTTTATCTGCTTAAAATAACGCCAAGCATAGCATTTGAGCTATTTCTCATGGCTGAAAATTTAGTCTCAATTTTTTGTACCCCCTTTTTGTTTTGTTTTTATTTTTTATTATCTTTTTTATTATTGTTTCTTTTTTGTTGTTCCTGTTTTTTTTTTTTTTTTTTTTGCTCATTTACTAGGGTAATACCAAATATGATATTTGAACCCCCCCTTTTTCTTAACACTAAATATGATATTTGAGCAAAAGTTTTTTTTTTTTCCTCTTTTTTTTTTTGCTTATCTATTGGGACAGTACCAAATATGATATTTGAGCAAGAATTTTCCCCTTCTTTTTGCTAGAACTCTGACCTTAAAATTTTTTTTTTCCCCAAGTATTCCTACTATACATGATTTTGATCTAAACTTTGTCAACTTGCCTCTTTGTAGACAACTCAAGCTGCGCTTGAAGAGGGGTTCGAAACAATTCCGGGGATTCGAGAAGAGGCAACCAATTAGGTAATTTAATTACCAAACTTCTTGCACGAAACTCCTGCATCCTCTAATATTTTCTTTTACAAAATTTCAGCAATCATGTGTAAATTAAGGACTACGCCGTGCCAGTGCCGTATATATTCACTGACGGATGAACGGGGAGGAACTCAATCAAAAAGCTTGTCACTACATGTTTACAAACCAGCAATCGGCCCGCTCGCTGAATCCTTCATACCCCTTGAAGGATGCTTTCATCTCGAAGATTGGACTAGCAAGTGGGACCAAGGAGTGGTGGCACCGTCGACTTTCTCCACTACATCGAGGGAAGAAGAACGTGGTCGTATTAAACTCGTCACTTCACAATGGAGATCCAGAAATAGCCAAATTCACTCCCGTTCGTGGGAAATGTTGACAAAGCTACATTGAAAACCCCTTCATCCTTCTTCGATGAGGCGTGCTTCACCTCCCATTATTGGGAGTGGGTTGAGGACATGCTTGGAAGGTATAAAGACATACTCACACGCGCTGGCATATTTGAAGCCGTCTACGCGTCGAGATACTCCTACGACCGCTGTGAAAATATCTTGCGGGCCTTCTTCAAATATTGGTGTCCCTTGACGAACACGCTCCATACGCCCGTTGGGGAGTTGTCCATCACACTTTGGGACCTTTATCGAATCGGTGGCCTTTCGATCGACGGCAGTTTTTCGATGAAGTTGTTCCTTCGGCGCTGGAGCTCCTCACTCGTGACAAAGAAGGGAAATCACTTCTCCCTGAGAGTTGCAGGCATCTTTTTTCGGTTTACTACCACCTCTGGACGAATGACCAAGAGGTATGGATGAAGGACTGGATTCGCTTCTGGTTCAAAGGAGAGCAAGGTATAGGGCTCCTCCGAGTAGAGCGAATAGAAGAAAGACTACATCTAAACCAAAAATGACTTACAACCCTTCTGGAAGCGTGGAGCCTTAGACGATCGCCGATACGATTGACGTTCAATGTCCTTATTTGACACCCTGGGTTCCCAGGGTCTCTAAGAAAGGAAACCTATATTGCGGTATTCATAGCGTGTTGGATTTGCAAGTTCCTTTTGCCAAGCAAAAAGGTCGATCGTATTCGTCCAAGTGTCTTCAAGGTTGCATGCTTAATGGCTACAGGGAAAAGATTTTGTCTTGCAATTCCCGTCCTTGCGAGCATATATCATGGGTTGAGGGAGATCGTCCACGCCCCTAACCTTGGAGAATGTGGGGTAACTTTTCCAATCCATTACGTCTATGCTTGGATTGGCCAATACTTCGATGTATACTACGAAAATCATCAAGTGAGTAGCCACCACGCGCGCATGACAAGATTTAGTGGTGAGAAAATGGCAATATTTTATGGCCAATTGGAAGCTGAGGAAATTTTCAAAGAAACGAATCCTTTGATGCTTCCTAAATTGTGCTGGACTGAGAATGAAGAAAAGGCGTTGATCGATGACGGATCCTTATCATCAAGACTCACGAGCTACTTCATTAGTCAACGCTCTTGCCATTTAACTCTACGTAAGGACAATACTTTCATTACTGAAAAATATAATCCTTGCAGGTTCAGCAGGCAATTCGGTTTTTGTCAGGACATCCCCAACAACTTGAAAGAGATCACTCACACTTATACCTTAGGTGAAGCTATTCAACTATGGGATTCCTCAGTTCGCACTCAGACGCGGTCTCGGATGACTATACCCATGCACAGGAAGCATCCATTGATCACAAAAGACTATGATGCCTGGTGGTCGACTCGGTCAAATAGTGTCTCTTCAACTCCCTTAAAATTCACCGTTAAGATCCCTCAGCAATCAGTGAAGAAGGGTAAGGTTACCTCCGCCAACGAGTCAGTGCATCCTAATGGAGTTATAGAGATTGTAACGGGTCTTACCTCATCCACCTTGCGGAAGAACAAAACCATTAGCAGCCCCTTGGAAAAACAAGAAATAAGTCTTCCAAGGACTCTCGACAGGCCATCAAAGAGGCGCAACCAGTGATTCCAGCAAAGAAGATGCCGCCCAAGGTTTCAAAATCTTTATCAGTGACTCACACAGAAGAAGATGTCGAAATTGAAACGATGGACGATCGTGTTCTCTCGAGGCTATAGAACAAGAAGGGACTCAAGCTCAGGGCATCGAATCTACCCAAAGAGGACCCATTCGTTGGAGCGGCAGTAGTAGCCAAGACCGTCATTGGAACCGATCGAAGAAGAGGACATCTTCTGATTTGGAAATTTCCTTTTCACCACCGTCGGTTGGAGTGTCGCCACTTAAGGTAATCATATTTTCCTTTTTTTTTTTTTTTTTTAAACCCTCAAACATTTTTTTTTTCAGCCCCACTTCTTGAATTCCACCAAGAAGATGTTGGTACCAATTCACCACTTGAACTTGAGACTGATGCTATAATTTCAAACAAGAAAGGTGACGAAGTCGTTATCAGCATCCCAAAGCAACTTGCCCCCAGTGGAGCGCTTTGTCAAAGAAGGAGCTGACTAATTTGCACGAAATCCGAAAAAACCTAAGGTAGCATTGGTTTCAGAATTTCATGGTCAAAAATTGATCCAGGCGCATCGAAGAAGTACTTGCAGAGTTTGTGGATGGATTTTCGCGGACAGATTCTTGACACTCCAACTGAGCAGATCTCTTCTTTAAAAGAGTGTGCAGAGGAAATCATTGCGGAAATCACAAGAACGGATCCTACCAATGGTCTCCCTTTAAAAGATCACTTGATGGAATTGTTTGCCAAGGCGGAGGCATATGATGTTCTGGCATCCTCATCGTGGGAAAGGATGAGCAAAGAAACACATGCAGAACTCCTTTCCAAGCGACCGTCCAACTCGAGAGAGTTAAGGCAAAGGAAGAAGGACTAACTTGTCACTTGCAAAGTCTTGAAGAAAAGTTGCAGTCCATTGAAGACAGGAAGAAGGTTCTGCAACAGGAACTCATCAGTTTGGAGAAACAAAGCCTGGAAATCAGCTCAACTATCGATCAAAAGCATGAGACCTTCAAGAGATCCAGGCGAAATAACCCAAGCGCATGATGAGCTATCTTCCATTGAAAATACTAGCATCTTGACTGATGAGCGTGAAGGAACTTGAAGACATGAAGTCTGCACTTGAATCATATAAAGTAGCTGTAGTGGAATACAAATTTGATATTTAGACTTTCCACCATGTCTTCTTTTTCCTTGAATTTTTTTTCATTTTTTTTCCATGTAATGAGTTTCTTTTTTTTTGAATAATAAAATGCTTTTCATTTCTTATCTCTTGTTTTTTTTTTTAAGAGAAAAGAATTTTAAATTTAGCATTTTATTAAAGAGATTTTTTTTTTTTTTTTTTTTTTTTTTTTTTTTGCAAGGACAAGGATTTGATTTGGAGTGGTGTAACTGAACTTAGAAGTTGCCCTCCAAGCTGCCTACGTATCCCAACAAGGGAATCAAGTCACACGTAGTTCCTGCCGTTCACATTTTAACCTCATGCGGGCCAGGAGTATCTATTTGTTTACCACCTTAGACTTGGTGGAGTGTTTCAGCAGTTTAACCACATACTACACTATTGGTGGTTGCCATCCACAGTTTTAGCTCATGCGGGCCAGGAGCATCGCGCGGTTCCGATTACGCATAGTACCTTTTTAGGTACTTGCCATTGATGGGGCCAACCCTTAATCCATCTTCAGCAACCAACTTGTATGAGCCATTTGTATACTTCTCGAAAACATATGGACCATCCCACTTAGGAGTAAACTTTCTTTGTCCGCCATGAGTGAGAATGATTGGTCTCCGAACGGCGAGTACTAACTCTCCAATTTGAAAGAGCGGGTCGAACGTGCTTATTGAATGCCTTTGAAAGGCGAGCCTGATAACACTCAATCCGTTGCTGAGCTTCCAATCTCTTTTCGTCGAGTGCTTCTAATTCCTCAAGGCGAAGACGAACATTATCTTCTCCACTGAGCCCTTCTTGAATTGCAATTCTTAGCGAAGGTATTTGACACTCAAGTGGAAGAACAGCTTCAACACCGTAAACAAGCGCATATGGGGTTGCTTGTGTGGGAGTTCGAAAAGTAGTTCGGTATGCCCAAAGCGCTTCTCCAATTCGAAGATGCCAATCCCTTTTCGATTTATCCACGATTTTCTTCAACAGATTACATAAGGTCTTGTTGAATGCTTCAGCGAGTCCATTTGCAGCGTAGTACATGGACGAATTGTATTGTTTGAAATGAAACTTTTCGCAAAGTTTGTTCATTGCTACATTGCAAAAAGGCTTACCATTATCGGTGATGATATAACGCGGGACTCCATACCGATAAATGATGTGCAAGCGAATGAAATCTACTACATTCTCCTTTTTGACCTCTCTTAGAGGAACCGCTTCAGCCCACTTTGAAAAGTAATCGTCGCCGCCAAAATAAAAATGTGTCCTCCAGAAGATTTTGGAAGTGGTCCAACTATATCCAAACCCCAAGCATCGAACGGCCAAGAAGCACAGTTGGATGCAATGGTTCAGGAGGTTGACGGATGAAATTGCCATGAAATTGACAAGCTTGACATCTTCTAGCAAATCAATACAGTCCTTCACCATTGTTGGCCAGTAGTATCCCATTCTTTTAATGCGAAAGTGTAATTTCGGGCCAGATTGGTGAGCACCACATATCCCAGAGTGAGCCTCCTCCATTGCTTGCATGGCCTCATCTTCTCCAAGACATCGTAGAAACACCCCATCGAATGACCTTCGGTAAAGCGTCCCTTTGTAGTAAATGAAACGTGGTGCTCGACGACGTATATCAACCCTTTTCTTAGGATCTTCTGGTAACTTCCCATGATTAAGGTAATCTATGAGGTGACGCCAATCCTCCTTTTCGATCTCATGGACAAAAATATGATAAGTATTTTTCTTCACCATCATTATCTTCATCAAACATCGGAGGTATGACCCAATTTTGACATATTGAAATCTGATTTCGATGAGAAGGTAGAGTGATCATGGACGCCACCCTTGCCAAAGAATCAGCTTGTTGGTTGAAATTTCTAGGGATATGTTCTATAGTGACATTACCAATATCCCATGAGTTGCTTGCATACTTATAATATGGGATCAATTCAGGTTTCTTGACATCATAAACACCAAGAAGTTGATTTACCACCAATTTTGAATCACCGTAGACTCTAAGATGCAACTGCTTCATGTCTACAGCCGTTTCAAGACCGAGAATCAACGCCTGATATTCAGCCACATTGTTGGAACACCGGCGTGTTAAAGTGAAAGAGTATGGCAATATATCTGCTTCAGGAGTATAAAAGACAACTCCCGCACCAGCTCCATCACGGTGAGCAGCTCCATCGAAATACATTGACCACGGCGATTCGACCATAAACACTTCTTCATCGGGAAGTTCATCAGTCAACTCCCACTCGGCAGGTAGGGATGATCGGCTAAAAAGTCTGCCAATATTTGTCCTTTGACAGCCTTCGCAGGTACGTAAATAATTTCAAATTGTTGAAACTGGAGGTACCATCTCGCGAGCCGATCAGATAGTACAGGTTTTGCCATGACATATTTAATGGGATTAGACTTAGATATGAGTCGAATAGTATGTGCATGAAAATAATGTTTCAACTTCTGAATGACAAATATAAGTGCCAAACACAACTTCTCGATGGGTGAGTAGTTCAACTCATTAGATGTCATCATCCGGCTCAAGTAATACAGCGCATTCTCCTTACCTTCATCATTTTCTTGAGCAAGTAAGGCCCCAACCGACCGTTCTTGAGCGGAAATATAGAGAATCAATGGTTTTCCTGGAATGGGCGCAGCCAGCACTGGGGATTCATGAGATACCTTGATGCTTGTAAAAGCATTCCTACACGATTCATCCCACTCGAAGGGTACCCCTTTCTTCATCAGTCTACTAAAGGGTTGGCATCGCCCGGCCAAATTAGAGATAAACCTCCGGATATATGCCAACTTCCCTTGAAGGCTCTTCAATTCATGAATATTTCGCGGTTCAGGCATGTTCACAATGGCATCAATTTTAGATCGATCGACTTCTATTCCCCGTTGATGAACGATGAAACCAAGAAACTTGCCAGAAGTGACTCCGAATGCGCACTTCAAAGGATTCATCTTAATTGGTATCTCCGAAGGCGTTGGAAAACTCTTCGAAGGTCTTGAATATGATCCTCTCGCTTCTTTGATTTCACCACAAGGTCATCAACGTAGCACTCCACATTTCTATGGAGCATATCATCAAATATTCTTTGCATTGCCCTTTGATATGTCGCTCCAGCATTTTTCAAGCCAAACGGCATTACTTTATAGCAATAAATTCCCTTGGGGGTGCGGAAGGCAGTTAGCTCCTCATCCTCGGGCGCCATGCGTATTTGATTGTAGCCAGACGATCCATCGAGAAAAGATAGTGCTTCATGCCCGGTTGTAGCATCTACCGTCAATTCTGTGATGGGGAGAGGAAAATCATCTTTGGGGCAAGCCTCGTTTAAGTCTCGAAAGTCAACACAAACTCGAATTTGCCCATTCTTCTTCCTTACAGGGACGATGCTTGAAATCCATGTTGGATATTTTACTTCTCGTATGAATCCGGCTTCAATCAATCGATTTATCTCATTTTCTATCAGAGGAATCAATTCGGGCCGAAAGCGCCTTTGCGTTTGCTTGACAGGTTTTGTTCCTCGCTTGACGGACAAATTATGAACGGCGACCCTTGGATCCAAACCAGGCATTTCTGAGTAATTCCAGGCAAAGACGTCCCTGAACTCGAGCAGCAAATCAACATACTCTTTTTCTTCTTCAGGAGTCATACAAGAGCTTATGTAAATTGGGCGAGGATCGTCGCTTGTGCCAAGGTTAATCTCTTTTAGCTCATCGACTGTATTTTTTACCCCTTGTTCAAGTTCAGGGGAGCGTCATCTGCATCTTCTTCTTCTTCTTCGGATCACTGATCGTAATATGGTGACAGGAAGCCGTACTTTCTTGACCCTGTTCTTCAAAAATGGTTTCAATTCTTACATTGAATAAGTCTCCATAGTGCATGAAGAAATTGGAGACTCGCTTTCTTGGTCGTTCTTCTTTATTGGAGTAAGACTTTCTTCCCTGGCAACTTGGTACTCTTGTTTTTACTGCCTAATCTCTCATAGACGGGCGACTTCAGATTTTTCGGCTGCGGGCCAAGTCTGTCAAACACAGAAGTACGTTTTGACTTATTTCCCAATCGAACACAGATCTCTTTCGGCTTGTGACCTCCATTTCTTCGTTCACATAGTTACAACTCGCTCTTTTGATCATTATACGAACAGGAGAGGGCGGTTGATAACCAAGACCCATCGATGAACTTTCAACATTATAGCCCCTTTCTTTCAACATTTTCTGCGTAGGTGTCAATCCGTGAGTTTCTCGCCAGTCACTTCAGGAGGGAGTTTGCCCAATGTATTCTTCTCATTTGGGTTATAACCCGCCTTAGCAAGAAGTCTATAGGCGTTTGGATCAAAACCTTCTTGAGTCCGATTAGTTGGTAGCGAGTAATGTTCCACTGCCGGTTCTTCTTTGGGACGACAAACCCTTGCAAGCTCACCTTCTCAATTTTAACAGGCTCTATCTTGGTGAGCGGAACATTTAATGTGTCATTTCTGATAAAAGAAGACTGACCTTCTTCTCTCTTTGATCTTGGAGTATACCGCAAAATGGGTACTTTGGAATCTTGACTTTCTTCCCTTACCGATTCCTTTCTTTTTGCTTCTTTGTGAAGATAAAATTTGGCATCGGCAAAGTGAGTTTCGGCTTCCGTGAAAGGTTTGTCATCGGCAGTAACTTTCTTAACAATACCGTCTCGACAATATTTGAAACATTGATGCAGAGTAGATGGTATAATTTCATTCTCGTGAATCCAGGGCCTTCCCAAGAGCATGTTATAAGAGGTTTTGGCTTCAATGATATGAAATAACGCACTTGAAGACAGCTCACCAATGAGCAATTCAAGCCTTATGAGGCCAATTGCTCTTTGCCCCCTTGGTTAAATCCTTGGATCATGAGGCGGCTCTGGGAGAGTTCATCACTTGAGATTCCTAACTCTTTCATAGCACGTACGGACATGATATTGACAGCAGATCCCCCATCAATGAGTATCCGATTCATCTTTTGTTCTCGAACATATGCACTAACAAACAAAGGTCGATTGTGGGTCTTGAACTCAACAGTTAAATCGTCATCATAAAAATGATGGTCGTTGCACAATCCACCGGTGGTTTATCATCGACTTTGAGTTTTTTCTCAAATTCAGTGCCAATTTGTGTGACTTGAGGATTTTCAGCTTTGACGACATTACAAGAAGTGGAATTATCAGTATCGTCACTTAAATACCCCTTGGGTATAAATTCTCTCAATGTCACGGGCTGTCGAACCTCTTGAAGAAGCTGAAAATCTGACGAAATTGGTGTTGTGGCGACCCTTTTGTTTCTTTGTTGCATTTCGTCGTTTCATCGTACTTTGGCTTTGTCGAATGAATGCTTTTCGAAAAGATGTACTTCTTTATTTTGGCTTGCAAGTCCTCTTTCGAGTGACTAAAGTCCATCCTTCGTTGTCATCTTCAATAACATTTTCAATTGACGATTTTTCAAACTCCGTTTGTACAGACAGAGCACTGCTTGATGTGGGTAGAACTTCTATCGGGCAACACACAGATCCAAACATTATTGTTGTTTGGTTTGCCGATGCTTTATCCTCCTCAAGAAGGATTTTTCCTTGCGGGCTAATTCCATAATTTTGTCCTTAAAGACAAAGCATTTAGTGAGAGGGTGACCAATCAAGCGTGATAACAGCAATAATTCGGATCATTGACTTGACCGGCTTCCTCGGACGCTTCATTCGGGAAGTTCAAGGAGTTTCTCCTTGAAAAGATCATCAAACATTCCTTGTAAGTCGGACTCAAGGAAAGGGTATTCCTTTCTTGCATCTCTTTTAAGTGGGTCTTCTTACTGATCTATTTTGGAGGAATCTAATTTCTCAGTGATCTTTCGACTCACTTTGGTAGCAATTTTCATGGGAGCTGTGTTTATTGCCATGGACTCCTTATTATTGAATCTTGAAGGAGGCTTGCCCCCTTTTCTATTTTCTTGTCTTTCATTGTTTTGCCGAGTGGCTGTACTCGCGGATTTGAATAGGAAGCCCATCAGTTGCATTGGCCGTGATGCTTAACTCCATGTCATGAGCACGAGTAGCTAATTCTTCAAATGTGTTTGGCGTATACCCTGCAAAATGTACTTAGGCTCCAATGCATTCCTCGAATGCACATTTCTATGGCAGAGGGTTCAGACAGCCTGTCCTTGCAGTTGAGACTCAGACTTCTCCACCTATCAATGTAGTTGACCACAGGTTCATCCTTCCATTGACGAGTGTTAGTCAACTCCAGCATACTGACGGTTCTTCTAGTGCTGTAGAAGCGATTCAAGAACTCTTGTTCCAACTGTTCCCAACTGTCGATGGACCCCGGAGTGAGATCAGTGTACCAATCAAACGCGTTGCCCTTCAAGGATCGGACGAACTGTTTGACTAGCAGGTCACCATAGGTTCCAGCGTTATTGCAGGTTTCGACAAAATGGGCCACATGTTGTTTTGGACTGCCTTTCCCATCGAACTGTTGAAACTTAGGCGGTTGATATCCAGCAGGCATTGCTAGATTGTCAATTCTAGCAGTGTAAGGTTTGAGTAGGTAAACTCGATCTTGAACTACCCCCATTTTTGTCTTTGATCACGCCTTCAACAAGTTCCTTCAACTGTTCTACGGGGATAGTTCCCTCGGCGGTCACGTGTACTTCCTTCACCTTGTCTTTACCTTTAGATGAGAGATTTTCACGCTCTTGGTTCTCCTTAGAATTCATATGGCTTCCTTCAGGAGCGTGGTCCTTTTGGGTGAGCAGTTGAGCGATAAGAGCATCTTGGTCCTTGATGTGTTTCATCATGGTCTCCATCATCTTGGACATGTTCGAAACTTGTTCTTCAAGACTTAAAGCATTTGTCATCATAGCAGGCATTGCAGTAGAAGAAGCAGCAGAATCTTCAATAGAAAATTTGAATGAAGGTTTCATGTGAAGAGCTGATCCAGTGCTTGATGAATCATCATCATGCTAGAAAATTTGGGTTCGGATCCAAATTCGAGCATGGCAAGAGCCTTCTCAATGAGGCAGGAACGTCTTGGATCCCCATCGTGGAAGAATAGCTCATTGTGATGTTGAACCGAAGACGGGAGTTGGCGCCGATGAGCTTCCATGCTACTTTGGGTGGAGGCTCTCGTCATACTCCTTGTCAGGGACCAATAGCGCGGGTATTGGTGGCAACATGTGCAGCTTCCTGAACAGGCTTAGCATCAGTAGCCTTGGAACGTGCAATCATGATTTTGTTGCTCTTTGGTGCCATTGTGTGATGTAGTTGAATATTCGAGAGAAGAGATGGAAGGCAGAGATGGTCCCACCGGGCGTGCCAAAAATTTGTACGCGATAAAAATTTCAAGTCTGCAAAACGACAAGAAAAAAAATACACGACAAAATGTACTATATAAACTTAGAAAAATATGTAGGTACAATCTCTGGAAGTTTCTCGAACTTATGGAGAGTTTCCTTCGATTCTTCTCCTCGAACACCAATCCAAGGGCTTCGCAGCTTGTTCTTGGATCACCACCGACTCCTTCAAATCTTGATATGGAAGATTTGAAGGATTTGAAAATATTTGAAGGCTCAAGCCTTGATATGCGGAAGACTTGAGGAGCTTGAGACCCAGACCTTCGTAGCTTGAAGCTTCAATACTTGAGTGTATGAGATGCTTCTTGATATCTCTGTGTCCCTTGACTTGGTTGAGAGACCTCTATTTATAGTTGTAGCAAGAGGTAGAGGTTGAGACCATGTACCACTTACTTGTCTTGCAAGACGTGCAGTCATATTAGGACTGTGCCAGTTAAATATTATCTCTTCATTAATAAAGAGATAAGTAATTTCTCGATTGGCCAACTTGTGGGGACACGTGACGTGGCGCCTTTGACTGGCCAGCATTGCAGTATATAAGAGATATACTTGGATTAAACAATTCTAAATATTATCCCTTTAATAAGAAATAAATATTTA